TATGTACGAGGGTGGTTCGGAAAGTAAGTTCTGTTTTAGTATAATAAAATACTCAATGCATTTACAGACTTTTTACTATATACATCTTACAGAGCATACATTAAACTATTTTTCTACTTAATTTCCACCAACATTTAAGAGCTTGTCGTATATATAAAGAAGTTTTTCAATTCTCACTAAATAAAATTCAGCCGCCTTTTCATTTAGCCACTGTTTAACGCGATCTTTCAACTCATCGTCATTCACGAAGCGCTGCGCTCCAAGCTATTTCTTCATTTTCGAGAACATTAAAATCACTTGGAGCTAAATCAATTTTATTTGATGATCAAAAACATCCCAACTAAATTGATCCAAAAGTTCACGAGTTCGTTCTGCGGTTTGAGGACGTGCATTATCGTGAATAAGAAGAATGCCATCAGTCAACATTCCCCGTCTTTTGTTCTGAATCGCTCGCCTAAGTTTCTTTAATGTTTCACAGTACACTGTCGAACTAATCGTGGTGCCCCTTTTCATGAACTCCACCAAAAGGATCCTTTTTCTGTCCCAAAAAACAATTGCCATCACTCTTGTTTGAAAAATTGCGCCAGCGGAAGTTTCACTCGCAGCAGCCATTTGATTTTACTACTAGAGCGCGCAGAATTACCCGATCAATCTTCACAGCGTACTGACACACATTGAACCGGTTTACGCAACGCCACCGAGACCATGCCACTACCCCCACGCCACCGTTAACAAACCACAATCGGAACTTACTTTCCGAACCCCTCTCGTTTTAAACAAATTCAAATCACATTAGGAAATACACAAAAAGCATTTGCGAGTTTCAGAAACTTATTTTACGAACGAATTATTAGTTCGAAAATCTTTACGGCTGTCTTACTAATCGTTGCCAATTGGTTGCTAAATGTTGACATGAATATCAAATCAAAGTTCACATTATTTAGGCACGGGGTGGGGCTGAAGACATAAACGAATTTCGGAAACTAATTTTACGGACTAAATACAGGCATTTAATTCACTATGACTACCTCTTTGCTCATTTGCTGCTAAAATATGGTTAAAGAAATATTTCAAAATGCATTTTTAATGATATGGGTGGCGCTAGGAATATGTTACTTTTGGTTTTTTTTGTTCAATAATTAAACTAAAACATTAAAAATTTTAAAAAATATCCTCGCAAATTGTTGCTAATTAACTGTTGATTTAAAAAAAAAAATGTCAATATTTTAATAAAATGTGGTTGGGGAAATGTTCGTTTTGAATATCATTTTTCATAATATAGTCTGATAGAACTTTTGTCACAATAGTTTTAGGTTTAACAACATATTTGAAAGAAATCCAAAGGAATAATATTTAGAAGTTGATGTAATGTTATAAAAAAGTTTTCAGTTAAAAATTATCGATCCATAAAAATAACTATTGAGCAACTCAATGAACCTAATTATCACTTGTTCTTACAATTAAGTTGATTTAATAATGTATATTAATATAGTGAATACATTTATCAAAGTTGTATTTATATAATCTACTAAATATTATAAAAAAATAGTGCCAATATTCAATCTTCATGAATTTCTTTTATAAAACATTTAGTTTTTCTTACAATACATCGAAGTGAAGGGAGCTAAATAAAAACTTGATTCAGATAGATTGTTAATTTTTTCGTAAAATCAATATATATATATTCTATTTATGCAACGTGTAAATCATGAAATGGTTTAATAATCATATTAAAAATAATAATAGTAACACTGATTTGGAAAAAAGAATTATCAAGTCAAACAAATCAAAAACTAAAATGAATTCAACACGTCATGATGAATAAAAAAAAATTAAGAAAATCAAATGTATATTAATAAAAAAAAAACTTTAATTTGTTCTATAATTTTTTTTTAAATATTAATCATATTATATTTGTTTTTATTACATTTTCAAATTTGGTATTGAGAGGTTTAAAATAATAAAAAAAAAAAATATTTGCTTTACACGCTATGTAAATATAATTCATAAATTACAAGTATTTATAATAGCATCATTGACAAATGTATTGTTTTCATTCATGCTGACTATGTGTGCGTAATCGACTAATATATTTGTTTGATTACACATATGTTAAGTGATAGATATTTATTACTTCCCTTGAGTTAGATACGTGTGTTCCAATTTCTCACTGTTTTCATTGTAATTTATACGATTTTTTAAAAATTAATTTTCTTCGTTACTCTCAATTTAATTTGATTACAGAACCACTGACCCACTTGTCCATTATGACTATACCTTTTTTAATTTAGTTTTTTCATGTAAGCAGCATATATATATATATGTGTGGAAAGAGATAAATAAAATAGATTAAAAGCAATGTGCACATCTAATCTCAAGAAAAAGTCATTTAATGCAATAAACCTAACAAAAACTAAAATAGATTCTTCCACTAAACTTCAAATTCAATTTTGTTGGTCCTTTCTTTGACATTTAATAGCTGATACAGTTAAATAACTAACAGTGTTGGATTATGCGATACCTAGTGTAATGAATTTTGGAGAATATTGTTAGTGTCTTCATTTTTTTCTTCTACTATTACATCAGGCCTTAAGCTAAATTAAATGTAGTGTCATAATCGTTCTCTGTACTACATTGCAGTTATATCAGCTTTACATTATTTTTCCTCATAAAATATTCATTGATACACGAAAATAAAAAAAAAATTGTAACAATAGCATATTGAAACTATAATATTTAAAAAAAACATTATGTCTATATTAATCCTGTAATACACGTGTCAAGTGTTTTTTTTTTTTTTTTAATTTATAAATATCTTGCTTTATGGGTATAGTACAGGATTGATTGAAAAATACGCCGGTGTCACGGATGAAATATTTGAATACTTCATTCAAATGTATGTGACACGTTATGTTGTATACTTACACAGCACAAACAAAACTTTTTTTCGTTTAAAACTGACGATCTTTATAGTTTATACTACTCAATAATATAAATTCAGTGTATACCATTCTTGGAATATACCTCTCTAGATAAACTTATAGTTGCGATAGAAACCATAAAGGTTTCAATGCCAAACTACCAACTGACCGACCTACAATGGTGTCATGTTTTTTTTTTTTTTTAATTTTATCGTACTTTAAGTGATTTCAATTAACACGCCTTTAATAAGAAATAGTGTTATTGTGGTGAAAGTTCAAACAAATACACTAAACTACAGTAAAGCTGATGGAAATTAACTTTTCGCATAATATGCACCAATTATATATAATAAAAGTAAATTGGTCTATATTTTGATATTGAAAAAACTTCAAAACAACAACGATTTATGAAAATTGTAATTATTTGAATATTGAAAATTGTATTTTACCTTTCAAACAGTATTTTTTCAAAATTAAAATTAAATATTCATAATCAAATAATTAACATATTGAACTATTAAAAATTATATTACTCTTTACTTTTAATTAAATTTATTAAGCAGTATAATTTTTAATGTTAATTTTTAGTCTTTGGTTAAAGTTACATTTTAGCTATAATATAACTATAAATCAAATCTGTAAAATTGGTATGAGTATTTTTTAATTAAGTTATTTTTATACATATATATATATTTATTTTTTTATTATGATAATTTATTTCCATACGTGGTGCAGAAACGAAAACATCAGTACTTATTATATGTTTTATTTCATCTGATAAAAATATAATACGAAAAAAAATTCTATTCTATTAAATAACGATACAATTATACTTAATTAACGACAATGAAAATGACAGGTTAACTTCATTTTATGTATAGTAGTCTTAAAATAACCACGTATACATACACTTTTGATGTGTTACCAAATAATTATTATTTTATTTTAAGTAAAAATACATATTTGTTAATGTTTTCACAATCCAAATTGTGAATATTGATCTTACACACGAATTTCTTACGTGAAGTTATTATAAACGGAATCAACTACGTGTATACGCAATAAAATTACATAAATAAAAAAACATTTGAGATACAGTACTAATTGGAACAATCTTAGATAGTCAAAAATGTTACAATGGGGTCAAGTTATAAATAGTTATAAATATGACAATTCGTTACCAATAATCGTAATTTTAAGTAAATGAAAACCCAAACACAGAGAATAGTTTATGATATTAATTTTTTTTTGGAGATCATACTCGACTAAATTACTACTATAATATTTTATTGAAATATAATGTTGTTATATTTTAAATTCTCTAAAACTACAGCAAAATACTGACCTTTGATTGTTTTCAAAAATATATTATGTATATATCATTGGTGACATTACTAATTTATGATTCATGTCAATGTCGTACAACGGCCGTAGTACAAAATGTATAGTAACAACATGTCAACAAAACTCAGTGTTTATATCGATATTAACATATTTATGGTACATAATATACAAGGATGCCCATATGATGCTTTACTATTATTGTTCATTTTTTGTTTTTTTTTTCTTATATTTAATACGATATTTTAAACTATAATAAATTGAGGGTTCTCAAATTGTCAATATCCAAACATCCATTGTATGGCGTTTTTCCCCAGTATAGATTGAAATATTTTTTTTCTTATAGTTAATGCGATATCTTAAACCATTATAAACAGAGGGGTCTCAAATGTTAGATATCCAAACATCTATTGTACAAGGTTTCTCCGCAGTTAAGATTGAAATACATTTAATGCACGATACAATTGAAATATTCATCTATAAGTAAATATCTATTTATCATTCTAGCACAAGAAATATATAAACCTATATGTCCATATGCTGATAACGCAGAAGTGTTCTTCGAATTATTGATTATAGAACTTAACTACAAGGTGTTTCGTGGGGTGTTTTTGAAAAAAAAAAACCTTTACACCTCGTCGCCTGAACGGTCATCTTTTCAACCTAAGGGTCCTGGTTGTTTTAAAAATAAAAATGACCAGCTGTGTACAACTTATTCACGCGGTCCATTGAGCTCACCGTGACTGTACTGGTTGTTCCTGTTGATCACGCCCTGCGCCTTTTGCCGGGCGATGTAGAACCACTCGCTGGTATTGGACAGGTATTTGTACTCGACCGCCAGGTCCTTGGCCAGGATGCCCTCGCCGTTGGGCAGCCTGTACGCGTACGGGCAGAACAGCCAGTACCCCTTGTACTGGTTCTGGTCGTAGCAGTTGCCAGCCGCGAATATGTCGTCGTCGAACTCCACCATGGATATGACGCCAGCGTGCAGCAAGTACTCGGAGGCGGTGACCATCGGGTCCGCGTACTTCCAGATCCTCGTTAGCATATTGGCCCGGTTCACGGCCACATTGGCCATCACTCTGAACCGTTCCTGGAAAACGAGCAGGACAAAACGTTAACACGGATCGATCGTCTCAAGAGGAATGAGGTTCGATAACATGGCACGGCTTGTTATCGTGACTGGGATAACATTAATGGACGTGTATACGGGTTATATCTCTGGAAGTGAAGTGAATCTAACGGTTCGTGTACAAGATCGACGTCGGTTAACCGACCGTTTTTCGAACGGTTGTTTTATGTTGAACATTGTAAAAGTGGAGCGGAACAATGTACATCATCACTATCTGATAAACATTGATCGTGCATTTTTGCAAGAAAAGTAATACAATTGTTTTACGATCAATAAAAATTGGTTTCTTAAAATGCTTTTTCGATTTTATTTTATGTTATATTTTTTTCGACCGCGTAAACTAAAACGTTTCAAACGTTGGGCTGTAAATTAATCATAATTAGATAATATTATTGACTATTTATTTCGAGAAAAGTTATCTAAATACAAAATATCGATGAATATTTAACTATAAATAAAACTATTACGTTTTAAATTAATAATTCCGATTTCAAAAGATTCATATAATGTTCAAATTACTCAATTGAGGATTGAATCTTGTGACTTGAGAAGAAATGTTGCAGATATTATGTTTTATATGAAATATTAAATGGTCCATTAATAATTTATTCTCCAGAATTATTATATCTGTTTATTTCAATGATCACACTTAGAAATTAAGAAAACACAATTTATTTCATGTAACCATTTGTAAAAATAGTTTTACTTCCACTTCGTTTTTTCCCAGTGTTCGGTTTTTGGCGAACAGTATTATAGAACATATGGATTTTTTGCTATAACGCAAAATGTATTTAGAAAGAATATTTATTTGGTCTTAAATTTGTTTGTTTAAATGACTGTTTTTAAATAATTTTTTAATTTCTTGTTATAACTCTGTTAATTTTAATTTAATAATTTAAATTAATAATTAATATGTATCATAAAATTTGATATTTAATTTGTTATCATAATCACCATACTTAATAATACTACGTTTTAAATTGTATACATAATATATTATGAATTAAATTTAAATTGTATTCATAATAATTATCTTGCTAAATTGTTTAAAACCCGTTTATTATTAAATAAATAAATATTTTGTATAAACACTTGCTCTTCATTTCTAAAAACTTAATGCATATTGCATAGTATGAAAAAAATAATAATATGTATATAAAATTCGGGTATTTATATGATAAAATATAGGCAATGATGTCGTTAACTTTTCATTGAAGTTTTACGAACTGAAATTTTATGATTTATGCGTAGTCGTTTATCATCTACTTATCACATGCTGTTTTTGTTATCTAGTATCTTGATATATATATAAATATATGAGTGTATATTTGTACATTAGAGTGCTCTTTATTATAGAAGGCGGAGAAAAAAGTTAATTCGTTTTTATATGTCGCTGGTCCTTTTTATTTCTATAAGAAAGTAATATTGGTTAAATTTGGTGATGATACCTCTATTCACATACTTCACAAGAGATGAAAAAAAATCAGATAGTGGATTAACTTTTTCTTTTAAATATTTTACTTCTTTCGTCTACAAATAATAACTACCTTTATTATATATATTACAATTTTAAAAATAATATTACAACTTAAATCAGTTTCCTAAATCAAGTAATAAAGCGCAAAATGTAGTAAACAACATTTTAACTCAAATGTAAATTATATTACATAACACATTAAAAAATAGGTACATTTTTCCACAACCATTTATTAAATTATTAATCTGACAAATAAACTCATTTTATATGTAACCAGGTCATATTTAATTGTTCATCTCCTTAAGCTCTAGATATTTTTAATGCAATTATTATATCTTTGAAGGAAATTAGTTTTGATAACTATAATTTTTTCGATCACATCTACACTCTTATTGGGTAATAAATACAATCCTATTTTTAAAACCTTGGTCTTTCTCGGCCAAAAAAATTTTCAAGTAGTTCAAAACAAATGGTTAACACATTTTTCTGAATTTAATATACGCTGAAAATAATATCGATATCTTCAATACAACTGATGCCTTTCACTCACTGAATAAAGTTGTAAATCCTTACAAAGTCAGTCGAGTAGCAAACTCAATCTAAAGCTTCAAGGCTTACTGCTTATCACTTTATTTCCGAGTTCAACGAAGGAAGTAACTGACCAATTCAATGAGCCTTGTTTAGAAGCAAACTTCAAAGGATTTTTTTCATTTATAACCATCCATAACTCTCAATTCCATTTCTAATATATCAAATTCCACCAAAATCTAAAATTTCATATTTTCAAAATAAATCTTAAATCCTAATTCTAGGTCCAATAAAATGTAATTCGCAATTTTTGGATGTAAAAAAATAACAACGTTGTTATTGAAATCTATTCCATACAAATATTAATTACATCACTATATCTATACTATAATATATTACTACAAAAATCATTTTTTTTTTTTTTTTAATCTTACTTTATTCTTACTGTATTACATTAAAATATAGTTTTTATTGTACTTAAATTAGACCATAATATTTGAGCTTTATGCTTAATTGGCAAAAGCTCATTAAAATTAAAATTAAAAGAAAAAACTCAAATTAAACATTAATCAATGTTTAAATTGAACAAGGACAAGTAAATTATTTTCAATTTGATAAAATATTTAGAAGTTGAAAAAGTATGATAGTTTTTATAGTTACTTATCAATTAATGAGTAATATATAATATTCATCGCTGTTTATTTTAAAAATTCAGCTCAATTTAAATACCAATTACCTTATTTCAATACAAATTCAAAATTTCAAAAATAATAAATGAATGATTAAAAACCGTTTAATCACATTAAATTCACTCCCTCAACCATGATGATAATCAATGTTAAATAAATACTCTCCAGTAGTAAATATTCCAGAGCAATAAATCATTAAGGAATTATAATTCATTCAATTTTTTAAAATCAAAAAGAAAATTAAAATTATTTTTTCGTGATCGATTTTTATTAGTAATTTGAAAATACATTAGAAAAATATATTAAAAACATTATGAAAATATAATATTTGCAGAAAATCGGAAATAGTAAGAAGGATCCAATGCAGTACTAAAATTACTATAATTTGTTTTTATTGTTTTTGTTATTATAATTATTTTAACTAAAAATGTATTTGTATAATAAGATACTTGTATTATTACATAAAAGGACGATAACTTAACAAATGAGATAAAATATTAAAATATCGTTTGAAGTAAAAATAATTCATAAATTACAATTTTTATTATTTTTCTTATAAAGTAAAGAGATATCACTTTTGAGAAAATTAAATTAAATTGCCTTTAGTGTTTTTAATAGTTTCTGAAGAATTATGGTTTATATTTAAGTACGAGGATTATATATCTATGAAGAGTTTAAATTTCAGTTAATATTTATTTAAATTTATATTTATGTACAAAAGATTAATATTTTTTTAAATTTTATAACTTAAGTATTTTACAATAAAACAAATAAAATTGAGTTCAATATATAATAATTGTTAGTTTATTATTCATCTACATAGTTTCTTAAGATATAAGGTTGTATACAAAGTCATCCAATTAAAATAATAATAAAGGTGGATGCAGATTTTATATATAATTGCATATTAAACTTAGATTATTAACAAAAAAAATATTTTTAACTTCGATGAGCACACAAATAATTATTTTAAATATAAATTAATTTATAAATTAATCTCATGGAACTTTTCTGACATCAAAAACAGATACAACGATGCATGATGAGGTGGTAACGCATAAGTTGAATTGTAAGTAGGGGGGACTAACTGAACCAGATGTCCTTGGTATATGAACGATTGATACAAGGTCCCTTGGCAGATTTATTTTAGAATTAACTGTTACCTTAAAGGCCTTAAACTGTGTCCTCAAAGCTAACGAAGTTTCGGTAACCACGTGAAGACGACTATTTACTTTACCGACATGCATATCAAGGGATTTGAAACGATTAATTGTAGCAATGGTATAATCTTCAGCATCCGATTTGACGGTTACTACCTCATTAAATAATTTGTCAGAAGATTCTAAACAGTAACTACGAGCAGATAAGATATCTTCAGAGAGCTTAATAAAAGACTTTCTATAAAAATATTTATTGTCAATAACAGTTTAATACAGTTAATTTTATCGCTCATCCATTTTTCCAAATAATTTAGCTATGGTCTCGATATGCATTTAACAAAATTCCAAAGTCGACTCGATGTTATTTTTACAAAGCTCAGACGTTTTCTCGTTTGTCTTTCTGCAAGATCTTACTCGTATCATGTCTGTCATAATCTTTTGCAAATCCGCAATAGACAACAGAGACCCAACTTCTTCCGTGGTCTCTGTACGTACAAGAGGAAATGGCCGCGACAAAAGGGAACGCTCAAAATCTATATTTACATGAGGTTGATTGCCCAACCTATCAAGTGGTTTAGGCTTTCACTTTCCTACACCTTCAGCCATTTCGGACAATTTGTAATATGAGAATTTCAAAAATAATACAAATAAAATGTAGTACGATTATCAAATAAAAAAACTTGAAAAACTATAAAACTGGTGTACAATAGATATAATACCTTACTGACTAATTTAAATACAACTAGCTAATAAAAAAAAATGTATTGAAACAATCAGCCCACACCTCAAAACGAGAGCAAAATAAATTAAGAATGTTTATAATAATTCAATAATTTCAATTATCACGAAAACGATAAAGTAATAAAAATAAATAAACGATATGGAATACCACAATGTGTTATCGCAGAAAGGCGTAATTGGGTACTAAGGTCCGCAATACGAAAACGATAATATCACTTTTGAGGTAAGACTTACAATAACAATATAAATATACATAAGTACGAATGAATAGTTAACGTAACTGACGAAAATATAAAACAAAAGAAAAATTCCCAAATATGTAAAATTAACTTGAAGTCTATGGCTCCGCCGTAACCATCAACTTCC